CCCCTAATATTAAAACCAAACCGCCGAAATCCAGTTTTAATATTACGGAGGGGGGGGGGGGCCTTTAATAATAGGGGGAAGAGATTAAGTATGTTTCAGTATCTTATAGGTTTTTGGGGGGTTTGAGTTCAGTGTTGGGATTCCGGTTTAGGATTCACGATTGAGGTGGCTGCAACAGAAGATCCTTCCAAGCTCCTCGCGACCCAAAGCCTGAAACTCACCCTAACCCTCCAGGTACCTACTATATAGGGTACTAGAGCCCCTAGGTCCCTATATAGTAAGTACCTGGGGGGTTAGGGCCATAATTACAAGGCAGAGTCCTCGAACATGTCTGCACGAGGCAGAACAGAAGGAGGCAGAAGAAAAGGCCAAGGACAGTGCTCGGGGACTTGAGTTGAGTGTGCCAAGTGAGCGCAGCGTTCAACTGCAACAGTCTGTTCAAGCTGATGTCCTGTACAGAAGACAACACCAGTCAGCAAAAAGCACCTACCACTATCGACTTCTGCATTGCTTGAATTGAGCCGCAAAGGCTGAGAGGTCAGGTCCGATGGCTAGCGATGTTTGTGCTGCCTGGGCAAAATGAGCAACCAGAACAGCAGCCATGGTAATATAGGTATATAGTGTATATGTGTTTATATATGTTTTTTTGCTCCATGATGCTTTATCAGTTTATTTTATAGTATAGTTTGTATAGTGTGGTAGGGTATAGTATAGTATAGTGTACTGTCTTGCAGCATAATATGGTATAGCAGAGTGTACTGTGTTGAGAGGCATTGCACAAGAGCCGCAGCCAGACTGCGCTCGGACTGGGTTAATTTCCCCCTGAGGCCCTGCGGACTTCTGAGCATTTGAAAACGCCCGTGAGGAAGCCGCTCAACAGAAGATCCGCAACAAGCCACCACCTCGTGGATTCTGTTTGTCCACGTTCTTTCAGTTTTTCTGGGATGCATTGTTTTTTTGTGGAAGGCTGTGTAGTAAAATCTCCCGCCCGCGTTCACCCAGAGCTCCAGAATACCCCTGTGTATGCAAGTGCCGAGGTTGGATCAGAAGGCGAAGGAGCTGAAGGTTGCAGAGAAAGCAGCTCCATGTCAGAAGCGAACAAGAGGTGGCTTAGTCTCTTGCAGTAGCACCCTGATTACTCATAAACCCTATTGGCCCTAATTCCTAGACCCTTTTCTTAGAAGGACGGCCCTCCTCTTCGCGCTGAACAACCGTAACAAGTTGCTGAATCTCGATCTACCTAAGCCCTGTAAACCCCCAGGCCTACAGGCCTTGAACACCAGACTACATCAGTTCTATGTTCTGATTCTAAGGTTTACGAAGTTCAGGGCTACTGCAAAGCTCGGGAGCATCCTTTTCGACGAAGGAGGCAGTAGGATCCCAGAACGTCGTCTGCTTTTTTGCATCATGTTACAAGAAGTACTCGTCTTCTTCCTAAACCCCGAACCCTAAACCCTAAACTTTACAGCAGCAGTTTGCATGCCCGGGCTGTTGACATCTTCCGAGCTCTCCAGCTCTTGCTTAGGCTGTCGCTCCAAAGGACTTGTTCCAGAACGGCTCTAACAAAGGCCGGTTTAGGGTTCAGGGTTTAGGGTTTACTGTTTAGGGTTTGGGTTTGGCTTTAGGTTTAGGGTTTAGGGTTTAGGTGCTTCTCCTTGGCGTTTGATGCGTTCAGGTTTGAATCTGTCTGCTCCATGCACTGTGACATGTGCCAGGCAACCTCAGGCAAAAAGACAAAGAGCATCTATCATGTTCGCAGGTGTTTATGCCGACTTTGATGCCGAGGGTCTTCCCACCAAGCTCGCAAACGGCGAGGCCACTGCTTGCCTGGGTGACTCTGCTGGTGATTGTTTTGGAGTTAGAGGTAGACTTAAGGCATCTGCCTCAGCGCTTAAGTGGCTGAATGCGAGTTGTGACGAGACTGTTCGAGCGGGTCATTTTCACCGGATTAGAAGCAAGTGCCAGCGCGGGAAGTGGCAATGGCGAGGGGTGTAAGCGCGCAGATGCGTCAGCGATATGTAGCCCGAGGCTTGTTATCAAAGTCTTGCACGAGACGATCCTGTGGTCCACATCCTGCAAAAACTCTAAACCCTAAGCCCTAAAACCAGCATAAACTCAAAGCCCTCCGAGCGCGAGAGCCGAAACCCCTAAACCCTAAACCCCTAAAGCGTAGGCCCTAAGCCGAAACAGGAGCTCAGCGCGAAGAAGAGGAAAGACTTGGCCAAGGCATTGTGCGGCTTTTCGCCGCTGGGTTTAGGGTTTAGGGTCTAGGGTTCAGAAGTTCAGGCTTTAGGGCCTTCGGCTTTGGGGTTTATAGGCTTAAGGTTTAGGTGGTTTAAGGTTTATGTAGGGTGAGGAAATGTTAGGAATCTTGAAGGTCAGTTATTGCTTGGTTCCGGCCGCTCCAGATTACCTGGTGTTCTTCAGCAAGTACCAATCAGTCTTAATATCGTATATCACCCGAAGAATCAAAAGATTCTCAGGCTTCCCTAAACCCTAAACCCTAAACCCTGCATCGTAGGTTCGTCCTAGCCAGGCGGGAGGGAACAAAAATAAGCCTGAGAAAGCTTTGGCCAGGAGCTGGCCAAGCAGCACAAAGATTTTGAAAAGATGCAGAAGCAAGCCGGGGATGCAGGCGTTGACACTTGGCCTTGCTTACTTGGAGGCCCAGGGGACTTAGTAAGTCGGTTATAAGTAGAGTTATAATTGGGGTAACTCCGTTTAGGGGACTTATAACTCTACTTATAACCTACTTACTAAGTCCCCTGGGCCTCCAAGTATGAAGCA